TCGGTGCACGCCCCGTCAAAACCTCGAGAGATCCAATGTTACTGAAAATTTAGAAGATGTCTCTGTTATGGCGATTCGTGGCTTGTATAAAGGAGGTAAGGGCACTTGGTCGCACACTGTGGTTCAGAAGATGATATAGACAGTTTAGACAAGAGCGGGTCAACTTCGCTTTATCTTTGTTTACACTTCGCAAACTTCACATAGCGGATAGTGGTGTTTAAATTCCTCTGTACAAACAAATGAAACTACAAGCTGTAGATTGTAAATCTAGCCACCCTTAGGCAGCGCCTTTATGGGGACTGCCGCCGTCTTAAAAAAGGCCATGATCAATGAGATACAACGAAACGCTTTTAAACTGCTTTATTGATTTATTTATCTATTTGTTTTCTCTCTCTCTCTCTCTGAGCGCTTCAGGTAAGTAACGACAACTATTTAATATTTTTGCATGCTATAGGTAAAAGCGTGTAGTAAAAAGCATGTAGTGTATCTTCGTTGAATTACTTAAGATTTAAACTTAATATAGATACTTAATATAAGAAACTTTATATAAATACTTGGTGTTCTACTTATAGTCTTGTCGCTGTTCCATTATATAAAAGCTTTTTATTAAAATCCTGCCACATTTAATCCGCAACTGTAACCTATGTATCTTGTGGTGCAGGTCGAAAAAGTTAACATTGTTTTTTATGATATTGATGGCTTGCATACATCGGTTAGTGTTTAAGGCTGCTTGCAACCGAAAAATGTAGTACAATGGACGGATTGTTTGCGCATCTTGTTTGTGTTATTTGTCTGCGATAAGTATGAAATCCAGCTGCCTGGGTTGTGCGAGATAATAAACCACAACTTAAAAGCAAAAGACGCCAATAAAACACAATTAACTTAATGCAAAAAAAAAAAAAAAAAAAAAAAAAAAAAAAAAATTAAGTCTGAACGCCGTTTCTATTCCAATAGGCCTACATGTATCTTAAAGACCGATGTCAACTTCATTTAAATAATCCCGTCAACATGCATGCAGTGGCGGATATAGGGAAGTGTCAGGGGGTCATTACCCCTTTCGATTTCTAAAAATCCCCCACAAATGGTCCCCTCTTGATATTAGAATTTTGACTAGTTGAATCATAGTTCTAAACCGTACCAAATGGCACCGTACGCACTCTAAAATACCAAAAGATGTCGAGGGCCTTCGGCGGGCCTCGAACCCCCCGCAAAATATGTGTGTGTGTGTGGGGGGGGGGAG